TTATTGGAATTTTGGAACAAAATTTCTAAAATAGGGACAATTTTTTTAAAAATAAGGCGTTTATTATTAAAAAGGCAATGAAAACAAATTTGGGAAAGAAATTATGTGATGCTTACAACTCAAATTTCTAAGATAATGGCATTTATTATAAAAAAAAAGTCACAAAATGATTTTAGCAAAATCTTGCTCTTTTTTCACTTTTATTTTGTTTAAATTTATTGAAATTGTTTTACGTTAGCAGTGTTTTATAATAACAAATGCCATTATTGTAATTTTTAGTAGCATTTTTAATGTAAAAGCTACAAATATTTCTATCTTGTCACATTTTTTAAGGAAGCTTATCGTATTTTTTAATCAAATATAAAAAAATACTGTTATTGGGCTTTTTGGTTCTAGGTAATATATGCAATTTTTCTCGAAATCTTGTAATTGGGTATTTGATTCTAAAGTTTGGTTTAAGGTAATATGATTCTGAGGAAAAGTGACAGATTTTTGACATTATTCAAAGTCTCAAAATAAAAAATTCACCTCCTTCTGTAGTATTCTAGGATTCCAGAGGAGGAAATTACGTTATTTTCAAAATTGACCTAAATAAAAAATTATGAAATAATCGTTGCTATCTTGAAAAGTATGTCTGGAAGTGACTGCAAATCAGTTGTAAATTTTTGCTACTAAAATTTTATTTATATTGCAATTAATAGCATTTGGCATGAAAAATTCCTTAAATAATCTTGTAGGATTATTTAAGGTATTTTCTGGCAAAAAACATCTTAAATAATCCCCTAAAAAATTGATCAGTGTTATTTAAGATGTTTTTTGCTAAAAAATGCCTTAAATAATCCAAAAAAGAAAATAAGTAATGCATAAAAATAAACACTAAAGAGGAAAATCGAACTTACGACTTTATGATTAATAGCCATATACTTTAACCAATTGAGCTACTCTAATTTTTTAAATTAATTTCTTAAATCTTATAAGTAATGAAATAGATTATTTAAGGCGTTTTTAGTCAAAAAAGCCTTAAATGATTGATTATTTAAGGTGTTTTTGACTAAAAACATCTTAAATAATCTTTTTAAATGGTTAATAATCATACTCTAACCGACTGAGCTACTCAATTTTTTTATATTTTATCTCTTAAATCTCATAAGTAATAAAAAAATTATTTAAGACGTTTTTAGTAAAAAAAAAGTCTTGAATAATACGATCCAAAAAAGTGAAGGGTATTATTTAATGCCTTTTTTTTTTTACCAAAAATGCATTAAATAATCCTTTTTTAAAAATATTAGAGATTGTTGAAGGTGTTTTTGATAAAAAAAAAAAAAAAACCTTAAATAATCCCCTTTAAAAAATATTAGAGATTATTTAAGACAATTTTGGACCAAAAATGACTTAAATAATCCCTTCATATTTTTTAAACGGTATTTATTTAAGGCGTTTTTGGATAAAAAAATCTTAAATGTCCTCAATATTTTTTTATTAATAATATTTTATAAATAAAAACAACAATCAAATAAAATATTTGTCTTCTTTTATTGTTAAAGGTATCATTTATCATTTGGGTATTTATTATTAATAAAAATTAATAAAAAGTTATCATCATATATGTTAAGAAAATTATGATAATTATTCAAGAATTAATATATATGAATTCTAGAATTAATATATATGAATTCTTTCCAATCAAATGAGTGAATCTGAATACGAAATGCCCTGAAAATGAAAGAAAACTTCAGGTATCACACTTTTTCGGAGATCACATCTTTTCAGATATCACACTTTTACTTGGAATCCAAGATTCAACGAACAAAACGTCTCCTTAAAAGTTCAATTTCTTATATGAGTAAACTACTCTATTTTATATATATCTAATTGTATTAGTTAATACACTTATAAGTTTATTAGAACATGTCCACTAATGAAAATGTTGAGATTGTTATCTAAGTAAAAAAGTTCAATGAAGCTAATTTCAAAGATTTGGTAACACTTTGAAATGAATATACATTATGAATGAAAAAGATGTGAGAAATATATAATTATTGCAAAAATGTTCTTAATACTGGTAAAAGGAATAGGATAAGAGTTATGAGAAATCACACGATTAATTGTGCAAAACAAAAGGTAAGCAATACAATTGTTCCATTTTTCATTCATTCATTTTCTTTAAAACTAAATTCTATTGTTATTTTATTTATAGGATCATATTTTAACATAAATGTAGATTCAACATGCAAAATTGAGGAAGATCATGAATAATTTTTAATTAGTTGATATCAAGTATGCCTATTTTAAGTTTTCAAACAATAAATTTTTATTATTAAGTTGTTTGTTGTATTTAAATTTGAAAACTTGTTTATTGTTAATTTTGTGTTACCTATACTTTTAATTTATATTTTATTTTTTAATTTTAATTATTATTATATGAAAGTTAAGCTTATTCTTTGCTTGAATTCCAGCTCGTCTTTGGATTTGGGTCAAGTAATCCACACCCATTAAATTAGTTTGAGAGTCAAACTTTAACTTAATAATCATGTAGCTAAACAGATTTGGATAGTAAATGGGTATTACCAAATTATTATAATAAGGTTCAAATAGCAAAGTTAAAAAATAATTGAATATTTAAGGATTCTTTTAATATGTAATATAATTGGATCAAAATATGAGTATTTAAAACATTATGAGTATCTTACTCGTTGCCATCTCTAGCACTTTTATTGTTTCTTTAATTTTATGTATACCGGTATTATTCTTTTTTTGTGAACTTAATAATGAATACTTGGTTTAATTAGAAAATGATTTACGAATCAAGTTTACGTGAATTAAAAATCGTAGAATCGATGTTAAGTAAATACTGATAGAGATCTTTACTTTTTTTAAAGTATTTAATAAGAAATTTTTATATTTTTTAATATTTAAATTGTAAAAAATATGTAAATTGTGTTATTTTTTTATGAATATTTAAATCTTAAAACAAAAAAAATGTAAAATTGCTCAATCATATTTTTAATGCAATTCTCTTTTACTATAGATTATTTATTTATTCTAAATTATTTGCACAAAAATAATTAGGTGAATTTTTTGTTCCATGTTTGTTACACGTAAATAATTTACATAATTTTTTTGTTACATATTTGTTGCACATAAAATAATTTACATGAATACCAAAATTATTATTATGATAAAAATAATAATTTTTTTGGATCATTATTTAATGAATTTAAAATTTGTTAATACTCAAAGTATGAGAAAATGAAATAAATTCAAGTAAAAAATATATTTTCATGAAAAATAATAAAACAAAATATGTTTGTATTTGATATTTTTATAATATTTAAATTACTATAAAAATTAAAAATAAAATGTAAATATTTTTATATTAAAATTTTGAAAAATATTTTAAATTATTAATAATTTTTAATTGTTTTGAAATTTATTGACAAAAATATAATTTAAAATATAAATAAATTGATTGATCAAAATGTTTGTAGTTGATAAATATTTTTATGCTAATAAAAATGAAATCCTTTAATAAAAATATTATTTAAAATATAAATTAAAACCATTATTAGTGTATAATGTAATTTATATCATGTTGTATTTACTATATGATTTAATTGAAATTAAAATTTAAAATATTTATATTATTTATTAATATTGATCATATAATTTTTATTATATTATTGGTTGATATTTTTGTCTTCAAATTCAACATTTAAGTTCAACTTGACATGGGGAGTAAATATTTTGACTAGAATACATTAATATTAATATTTTTTATTTTTTAAAATATTGATAAACTTTAGGTCTTAATGCAAAAAAATAAATATAATTTTGAGACAATTCATAAAAGAAAATGCGGGCAATTAATTTGTGAGAGAAAAGTATGTATTTTTACTTTATGTTGAGTGATATGTTTTTATTTATAACTTAATCCATTGTATGATATCTTTCATTGTTTTCTATTTTATCATTTAAAAATAGAAAATCTTTTTCACCCAATTGATCAATCTTTTATTTTAATTTTAATTTTTTTTCTATTTTAACAATGTTTATTTAATTGTATTAGAATTATTTTTTGAGATAAAAATATCATTTGAAAATTATCAAATTAATTATAAATGTTATATGAAAAATATTTAGAATTAAAATAAGGAGAATAACGTAAAAATATAAAAAAATTAATTTAAATTATAAAAAATTAAATGTTATTTCTCATAAGATATTTTTTAGGTCTTTTTTAAAATCTAAAATTTATCAATAATATTTTTATTATAAAAAATCAACTTTTATTTTTGTTTTTCATTCTCTTTTATTTTCTCTTAATTCTTCTTTTGCTTCCCTTTTCCATCCCTCTCAAGTGGGGTAGTCCTTTATTGAGTAATCCTCCAATAATTTCAATGCAAATGATCAATTATATTCTCATTGCTGATTAAAGACTCATTTGGTGCACTAAATTTATTGTCGAGATAATTCATTAAATTTTGACATTTAAATAACACTAAATATATTTGATGTGACATGATCGACACTATCAAAAATTATTTAATATTAATGGATTTTTATTAACAAAAATTTTTCATTTGCAAATATCGACGAGTTATTGATGATTTATAGTCGGATCATAAATATAAAATTATTATAAAACTATCGACGGACATCGATGGATGAAAAACTATCCGTCATTATTCTATAAATGATGATGGCGTGAGATGTTGGCAAATTGGTGCAGGATTTATCGATGGAAAAAATTTATTGATAATTCATAGGTAAAGTCTTTATGGACGGATATTTTCCATTGATAAAAAATTTTCTGAAAAAATTTGAAAAACTGATTCGGTATAAAATAAATTAAATGAAATAAAAAATTTAGGTTACCCACCTGGTTCCTTTTCTTCCGCCCTTGATCAGCAAAATCCTTAATTTTCTAAAAGCCCACCTCTGAAGCTGCTCCTTTCTCCTCCTCTCTCTCTCCCCTCTCCTTGCCACTGTGAAAGCCTGCTACCGTGAAGCTGCTACCGTGAAGCCGGCGTCGGTCCTTCTCTTTTTGCCACCGGTAACTTGGTTTATGACAGTAAGTTGAATCCAGGATCTTGTTTTCTAGTATTTGGCCTTTGTATGCATATTTGTTTCTGTTCCATGTTCCATAGGTATGAGTTTGGTTTTTGATGTTGCAGAGGAACGAATTGATGAGGTTGAGTCATGATAAAGTGAATGGGATGGAGCAATGCCACCAATGGCTTTCAGAAAGTTTTGACATTTGGTTTAGAGTATAAAAGAGATGTAAGTAATAAGATTCAAAAATTATTTCCACTAATAAAATAGATGCTAGCAAGTAAAAAGATTCAAAAATTATTCCCACTACTTAGATTTTAAAAAAAGAAAAAAAAAACTCAACTAGGGGCAAATTCACAGTTAAAACTTAGAACTATAGATGGTTGTAGTAGTATTAATGATTTCTTCATCATGGTATGAGAGAAATGAAAAGGAAAGATAGAAATAGGAAAAAAAACCAAGAACTTACACTAAGGTTATATATGTGTTTAGAAGCGTCCTTTATTTAAGTTCCTTATAAAACCTTATATAATCAGGATCGGTTTTCGTGGTCTTTTATCTTATCAGATTGATGTTAGACCTCTTTATCTGGTTTGGAGAATGGCATGAATATTGTAATTCAATTAAGTTCAATCATTCTTGTTTTGCTTTTTGACATTTTGATTAATTAAATGAATATTTAATTCAAACTTATCTTGTCAGGAATTATCAAATTAAGGAGTATATGAAGTTAAATTCAAATTTAATACTGTTAAAGACTTTGTACCTGTGGCGGATTCATGATTTTTTTTCAAGAATGTCCACTTATAAAATATATATAAAAAAACTGTTAATAAATTTACCAATTTTACGGTGTCCAGGGAAAATTTTTCGTCAGATTTTCTTTTTTCCCCACCTTTGAGGGTGTTCATAAGAAAATTTTGAGGGTGTCCACTGAAAATTTTACTTTTAAATTTTGTTATTTTTCAATTTTGAGGTGTCCATGACACCCTCCCACTAAAAATAGCTCTATGAAACTGCTTTTCCCCTTCTTAAGTAAGCTGGTCTTAGTTTCCAGCCTATCTTGTGACTTTTGCTCCATTATTTTGAATTAAGTTTGGTTTATCTCCTCTATCAAAAAGAAAAAAAAAAATGGTTTATCTCCCTAGTTTTGGAAAAGGCTTTTAAAAGCCATATCAGTAGTGCCAGAATTCGATGTAAAATTGTTATATTTCGCCACTGAGACAAACTTTTTTATTCTCTGCTCACATCTGGTTTTTCTAATGTCATCACTCTTGGATTTGATATTTATAGATTAAGTATCTAGTTACTGCTACTGTAGCCTTTAAGGGTGTTGAAGGTATTCTTTCTATCTTTGGCAACAGTATCGGAGCTTATCATTTGGTTTGTTTTGTGGTCTTATGTGTGTTTTTTTCTGTTAGTAGTTTAATTATCAACCAAGTCAACTAATAAAAGTATTACACTATTCTTCTTTTGTAGGTTCTGCAACAAGTCATTCTTACTCATATAGTGCTATATTGTGTGACTTTTACAACTATGACATGGAAAAGAAAGAATCTGGTCTACTTTTAACTAAGTTCTCACAGGTTAGTATTTGATAGTATATATTTTTCCATAAGGAGTAAGGGTTGATTGGTGTTTCCATTTCTTCCTTCTAATTGTACATTTCTTATTGGTGATTCTTTTGAAACTGCAGATGTAGATGGTGAAAATTTCAATGTATTATTTCTAACTGAATTTCCTTTGCTTCTTAGAACTTGGTGCTGTTAGGGGCATTGTTCTTAATTGGCATGAAGAAATCAATTCCCAAGAGACAACTCAAGAAAAGACTCCGAAAACCAAAACCAAGGGTCTACTTTCTTGTTCGACATCTGCTTACCTTGAGGAATCCATGGATTTGTATATTTGTATGCTTATATCAAGGCTTTGTTCCTTTAAGTAGGGAAAATAGGGCATATTAATTTGACAATTTGATACTGTTAAATACTAAGTTAAGTTCATGTATATTTAATTGAGTATCAGAAAGAATTTGATAATTTTGCTTTTAAATCTGCTACTTTTTTTTTTTTGGTTTTACCCATTTTCATGGAATTTGATATTGCACATTCTGTCGTTATGATACTGTTTTTTTTTTTTTTATCACCAATAAAATATCAACTAATTTTATCGATTACCAATAAAATTATTATTGATGGAATATTTACTAATGAAATTTTTTATCGATAATTACCAACAGAATTTTAAATTTACAGAGAAATTATTATTATCAAGTTGTTACCAATAAAATTTTTCGTCAATAAATTTTATCAATAAAAATATTACTGATGGAATTTAAATTATTACTGACAAAAAATTTGTTGGTAAAGCTCCTTTTTTTGATAGTGCAGTGGTGATAAGTCACAGGACATTTTTGGTCTAATGGTTAATGTCACTTTTTTTTTTTCAAATTTATTGTTATGTCTAAAATGTCCCTATAACTTTTTTTTGTTTAACTTTTTCAATTTGATTTTTTATTATTATATAATAAATAAATAAAGTTTATTATTATATAATAAATAAATAAAATTTATTATTATATAATTAATATGAATTAACTAAAAATAGATAACTACATAAATAATAAGAAATAAGGACAAATATTATTTGATATATTACTATTATTTTTATTAAATTTTAATTATTTATTAAATAAATTAATATTTGAAATAAAAACAATTTAATATTTTGAATTATTTATTAATTTAATAAATTTTAAATAATGCAAAATTTTAATACATTTAATTTAATATTTTTATTAGTTGTTTTCTTTCCTTATTTCCATTCATCTCATTACTATAATTATTTTTGTATCTTAACATATTTCCTAATTTTAATTTAACCATTATAGTAAAAAATATCGTCTACACTGTTATTTTTACTTTCTTTCCAATTTCACCGTTTATTTAAATAGAGTATAAAGCTTCAGGCTTTTGGAATTTAACGTTATTATTACAGTTAACATCAACCTACAAAAAATAAATTTCTTCCCAGTTCTATCTACCCTCAACAATAATAATCTAGTATTTTATCCACAATTTCAAAACCTTAGTTCTCTTTTTTTTTTTTTTTTTCATCTTCGTTATCTCAATTCTATCTTGATTTTCATGTCCATGGATCGATCTATATGTTAAGTAAAAAAGTCAATTTGAAAATTTTGTTTCCAATTTTTCTATAAAACATTTAATTTAATTTAATTTTTATAAAAATAAGATGTGTCGTATTTGAGAACTTAAGATAAATGATTGTGGATCATGCATTCGATATGATCTCCAACAAATAATCACCGATAAAAATCGAATCCAAAATCTATTTGTTTAAGTGAACGAATCTTGATTAATTGAGTCAAACCACTTATTAATCAATCAAATAAATATTACAACAATGCAAAAGCAACTTAACCAATTTTAGAAATTCAGATATTCTTTTGTTTGGCATTAAAATAGTATTGAAAATTATTGGTGGGGAATTTGAATAGGGTGGAGCCGCACCACCCACCGGCAATCCTCGGTCACTGATCTAGCCGAGAAAGACTAAATCTAGTGACGACAGCTTACTCCCCTCCTCTCCTTCCTCTAACTCTCTTGATATCCTCTCTTTGATTTTAACCGTCGATCTATCGTCCTCTGTAACATAATTAAATGCAAAATTTCTCTAATTCCAGTCATTAATTACATCATAAACTTTTCTAATTATTCGTATAAACTTTGGAAGATCGAAGAGTATCTCAAGTTACCACTAAAATCACCTAAAGAATTCAATTCAGTTATAAAAAGTTATAAATGCAATTATTTCATATCTACCAGGAAGAGAAAATGAAAAAAAAAAAAAATTTGTTGCTTTTCCTTTTTAGTTCCTTTTTTCTTGCCAACTTAGAAACTCTTCATGTCTAAGGATTTCCTTCCTCAGTCCAAAACTGTTAAACAACGGAAAAATATATATTCGTATTATTTCTTTTTTTTTTTAATTTTTATATACAAATTTTGAAATCATATCACTTATAATTATTATATTATAATTAATTAATTAAAATTTAAAATTATATGAAATCGAAATCCAGTGAATCTCTATATAATTTTTTAATATGATTTGATGATTATAAAAGTTATGTGTAAAATACACACCTAATTAGCTGTCCCAATTCCGAGTTGTATATATTTTGGCTTTGGCATCATCCATACCACAACGTCCGATGTAGTAAATAAATAAATATATGGTAAAATAGATATTGAAGAGACCAATTAAATCACTCTTTTAAGTTTCTGGTCTTAAGAAACAATTTTATAAAATTTTACATGACCGTTAAATCTCCTGCATGTTGAGACGTGTAAAAGCTGAGGTAGCTAAGAAATAAAGACGCCCAATGAAACGCCTCTGCTAATTCATTAACACCTATCAAGCCAAACCATTGCCATATAATTTCACCTTGTGCTTTGCTTTGCATGCTTTACAACGGTAACTTCGTCCTCGATTCCCCTTATATATTCCCCTATCAAATCCTTACTCCAATGCACTTCAATTCTTTCATTCCTAGCCCATAGATTTTCCTTCTCTCTATAAAAAGTTGTCTTCGGTTCTTTGGGTTTCTTTGTTGTTTTGCAGTATCAATGGGGTCCAAAGGATTTCTTGGTTGTCTGTTGTTTGTGATTGTGTTGTCTTTTCTCATCTGTTCAACTCAGGGTTACAAGTTCTATGTTGGTGGCAAAGATGGTTGGGTTGTTAGCCCTTCCGAGAACTACAATCATTGGGCTGAAAGGAACCGATTCCAAGTCAATGACACTCTCTGTAGGCATCCCTTTCTCTCTCTCTCTCTCTCTCTCTCTATATATATATATATGTACATCGGCTAAGAATTGATGATCTGAATTCTGATATGGTCTTTGGGTATCTTTGTTTTGCAGTTTTCAAATACAAGAAAGGTTCAGACTCGGTGCTCTTGGTACCAAGAGAAGATTACGACTCCTGCAACACCAAGAACCCAATACAATCCTTGACAGAGGGTGATTCGATCTTTACATTTGATCGTTCAGGTCCCTTCTTCTTCATCAGTGGCAACGCTGATAACTGCAACAAAGGACAAAAACTCATCGTTGTGGTCATGGCTGTAAGGCGAAAACCCCAGGAACTTCCTCCTTTTCCGTCTCCCTCATCTGTTGTACCAGCAACAACGCCAGTTTCTCCGCCTCCTTCCCCTGTTCCTAAGACTAACCCTCCACTGGAGTCACCAACGAGCAGCGAGGCGCCAGCGGATTTGGATGCTCCGGTACCGGTTCCATCAGAGCAAAAATCTGGTTCATTGGGATTAGTCCGTTCTACTTGGCTAGTGTTGGGTTCTAGCATTTGGTTGAGCATTGTCATGGGCAGTTTGTGAGGTCCTTGGGACAACAAAGTAGTTTGTTTTCGGAGCTAAATTAAGGTTTAAAAATTAGAGGAAACAAAAATAGAGGTGGGATTAATTATTTTGTTCTTTATTATTTTCATAATTTAATTTCTTTCGTCATTAATAAAATAGTATGGCTTTGGTTCGAGTTCAATATAATTTTGATATCTGGTTGATTATTAATAACTAAATATCAGCTACCACATATGGTTTTACAATTATCCTATATATATATATATATATATGCATAAAAGAGTGAAAATATATGGATATAGTGGAAGCTTATACCCTCGTTGAAACCAAAAAATCTTATGAAATTATGTTTGTTTTATTGATTTAGTTTATTCGCCGGATGTCACAGTAGAGAATATTTTCATAATCAAAATTTGAATATTAATTTCTGTAATTGAATTGAAAATCAATGGTTAAATATTAGTTTAATTGAGTATATTAAAAAAAATGTGTTTAAAAGTATTGATAATGAAGATATAGTATAACATTTTCAAAGTATAAAATCATCTTAAGATCAATTCTAAATTTAGTTATTTTAATACTATTATGTTTTTATTATTAATTTTTTTTATAATTTAATGTATTTGAATGAAGTGCGCCCACATTAGTGATTTTAATTTGAATATATAGTAGTTTGTATATATATATATATATATATATATATATTTAATAAAAAAAATCTTAGTGAGGGACCAAGAAGCGGGCATCCCCTAACAAATGTAAAGCTAAGCGTGAAAAAATTATAATCACATAAAGCGTAGTTGAAGAAATGGTAGCATGCATTCTTTTGCTCCCAAAACCAAACTATCACCCATTTCTTTGCCTGACCTTTCTCCCTCCCTTTTTCCGATGAATAATCGGCTTTCTTTTGCTCTCCTCATTTTCCCTCTGGCCTTATCGGCCGAGTCATCGTCTTCCCACAGTACCATGCATTGGAGTCGAACCTCGTTCTCGAGCAAGGTTCGCGATGGAAGTCTGAGTGCGAGGCAAACATATTATGGCCTATTAGGTGAGTGCATAGGCAATGAGGAAGAAACGGTGATGGAATCGGATATAAGCCGTAGGGCATTAGCTGGAAGGAGAAGGTACATTAGCTACGGTGCCCTAAAGCGGGACCGAGTCCCTTGCAATCGTCGGGGCCATTCCTACTATAACTGTGGTGCCCCTGGGCGGGCTAATCCTTACAATAGAGGGTGCAGTGTCATCTCACATTGCTATCGATACACTGGTTAAATCAACCAATTCTATGTCCGTCAAATTTTCCTTACATTTGTCCTTCATGTGACCACTTTTGTAGGCCAAGATTTATTTATTTATTTATTAATTTGCTGATTTTTTATTAATTAACAAAAGTTAAAAAAAAATGACAGGGATGTATAATTTCGAGGAAGTAGTTATTATTTTCCATATATAATTTTCTTTTTTCGTACTTATTTTTTGTTTTGTGTGAATGTAAATAAAAGATTATCTCTCTGATTTTTTTATTTCGTCTATTTTCTTTTTTTTTTACATTTAATGAAAAATATTTAAATGAATTTTTTAGGTGAAGTTTAATAAGTTTTTTATTGAAAATGATTAAATAAAAATTAAAAAAAAAATCGATAAATTAAAAGATCTAATTACATAAATTAAATGTATAAAATTTTAATAAATTTTGATGTATTTTTTAAATAGAATTTTTTTATAAAAATATTGATAAAATTTTTATCGTTGAATAAATATCGATTAAATTTAAATTATAAATAATTTTTTTAATTTTTTTACATATTATTAATTTTTATATTAAATTCTAAAATCTATTGGTTTAATAATGTTTTTAATAAAACTTTTTTTAAATTATTTTTAAAAATAAATTTACAAATTTTACTTAAAATTTCATATAAAATTTATCCACATTAAATAGAAATAAATGATGAGGATGAGGTTCGAACTCCTATGTTTATGCAAATATCAGATTTTTAGTTTGAATTATTGGTCTTGATAGTTGTACTTTTCAGAATATAAAATGTCAATTCAAACTGTAATAAAATTATACAATCATAATTAAATTACTGACGTAATAATTTTTTATCACGTGAGTAATTGATCTCACTTTCTCTTAATATGTAAATGTTAAATCAAATAATTGTTTTTCTTTTTTTTTTTTTTTTTCTTTCTCAATCTCTCAAACCTGCCACCATCCCGACCCCTGCAGAAAATTTCTCTTCTCCGGTGGAAAGCTCAAAGTCTATGCCACTAAACCCCTTAGCTTTACTTAAGGTACGAACCTCAATCTATACCACCAATTGCTGCATCCGCGAGATAAAATTTACCTGCCTCATCAGTTTCCCTTGGAATCGCATCATTTATATGAAGCTCCCTCACTATTCCAGCAAGTATCAGAACCTCAATCATGAATATTTTACCCTCCCCATACTTTTGTCCCCATCCAAGCTTTGGATATTGTTTTCCAGGGAGCTGTGATAATATAAGGGAGAGTGTGTAAACCTATATAACTCAGAAAAGCAGCCACATCCATGGGGTAAAGTGTTTAATAGCTCAAAATCTATTTCATATAATTGGAGGCTTGAATTCAGGTTTGAGGGAGAAAGAAAGAAGAAAAAGAAAAAAAAATTTTTGATGTAGCATTTACATATTAGAGAAGGTCACAGAGCTCACATGATTAAGGGTTTATTTAAATAAATATTGAGATTAATTTTGATAAAATTAAAAATAATTTAAAAAATGAGATTAATTATTGTAACAATATAATTAAAATTAATAAAATGATATATATTTGAATGTAAAAGTAATTATGATTTTAAATAAAAAAAAGAAAGGTGTTATTAATGGTATTAAGTTAAAAATTATATATAATAAATTTATAAATAATTAAAAAAAATAATATATTAAATAATATTTTTATTATATTAAATCAACAAAATTGTTTCATAATTTTTAATAAAATCAAAATAAAAATTAAATTATAGGAATATTTTTTTTCTACAATACAATTTAAAGGTAAAAAAAAAAAAGAAACGGACAGCTAACAACCGACCTAAAAGGTGCTATGGATGAATCATATAATTTCAATCTCACCGTTGATATCCAAACGAGTAATTGTGGCGTTTTGCACAAATTGGCATGACAACCGCACCCCCAATTGGCGATAGGTTAAATCCAAATCCACTTTAAAAAGATTATCATGTTAAAAATTTAATAGTGATTTTGTAATTCTAGTAAATTTTAAATTGATATATTACATACCGAAAAATATAAAAATTAAATTTGTTCATTTTATTTTACATTAATTAAAATTTGATTTTTTTACTTGACTATAAGTACCAATCCCATAATTTGACTTGTTTTATTCGTTACATACTTAATTTTAAGGCATCATATCTATTTTCTTCATAATAATCATCACGTGGGATTTAATAGTTTTGTGTTTTAATCAAACTATCATAAAATGTGAATATGGTAAACATGAAACCTGATACAGCGAAAGCTCGTTTTTATGTTCCACAAAGAATTTAGTAAGTTAGAGATTTATGTATATATAACATATGGTTATATATGATTGCCTAAAGATATAATATATATATTAAAATTATTACAAATATGTAAGGTAATATAATTAATTATTGTCATAATAATTTTAGAATTGTTAGATAAATATTTTAAAAGTTTCAAATTCAAATGAGTCATCACTATTTTTTTTTTACTGAACGTGATTGATAACTTAAAAACATATTTTCTTAATAAAAATTTAAAATTAATTAAAACTTATTAAAAGAAAAATTTTTTCCATTTGGTTTGCAAAAACAAATTTACGTTCTAGAGTTCAATTACATGTGAAAAAAAATTAATACTCCCAAAACACCCTTTCTAAAAACGATATCAAGTGATTATGAGTTATTTTTGTTTTGATAAAAGTGATTTTAATTTTAATATTTAAAATAATTTTTTACTTTTTTTTATAAAATCCTTTTAAAACATTTTATTTAGGAATAAAATAAAAATTTTTAGTTTCTAAACATTTTAAATTTCTTATATCTAATAGAATTTCGAAAAGTATTTCTATTGTATTCTCATCATAGTCTTTAAATCTTGACATAATATTTTTTTATAAAAAAATAAAAAAACCCTCTAATAATTAAGTAAGTTCAAAAATTATTTTCACTTAAGAATATTAGTTTTTATTTCAAAAAATAAAATTTCAAAATTATCATTTATTACTTTGTATTTTTTGACAATAATAAAATGCATTATATAACATGAAGCAACCAAATGCTGTAAACGCAAATTAAAATATGCAAATATAAATTTAATGCCATTTCATAAATCTTTAATTTTATTCATTATTATTATTATTATTGGAAATATTTAATGATGAAGGAAATTATATTTTTTTTGTTAGAAATTTTTTTTTATTTTGTAATATCTAAGCAAAATTTAAGAAAATTAATATTTCAATTAAAAAATTCTCATAATCAATTTTTGGTAAAAATGAAAATGATATTCCTTAGTAAAATATGATTTGAATTCCTCCTAATATTTATATAGGGTTTCTAAAATTAAATTTTCAATTAGGAATATTAGTGTTTATTCCTTTTTTATTTCTAAAAACCTTTTTCAAGATTATCATTTTATTGTTTCTCTTTTATTCTCAAGAAATACCTTGTATATGATGCAATAATACAATAACTGATATAAATAAAACCACACCATGTAAACAATCAATTTTATTTTATTCTTTTCAAAATTTTTCATTTTTATGTCTTTCTTCATTATCTCTCTAATGAATATCTTAGAAATAAAAATTTTTAGTGATAAAAAAATTTCCTTAATTCCCCAATATTTAAGTGAAATTTATGACAATTAATCATTTAAAAAATTATAATAATTCTTTAAATAAAGATAATATTTCTTACTAAAAATAATTATTTGAAATTCCTTCAATATCTAGTTATGATTTTCAATGTTATTTTTTACATAGAAATACTTTCTAATATTTTTGTTTTCCAAACAATGATGATAATTATTTCATAAAAAAATACATTTTATTTTCTATTTTGATCAAGGCACTATTTTATAAATTTAGAACAACCAGATGAAATTTAGAAAAAAAATTATGAAAATAACAAGCCCATGTTTATAAAAGAAGAATACCTCTTTTGGGTTCTGAATTGAGGCTCAAGAGGAAAATCCAAGCAAGCGGCCTAAACAAAGATGGGCATCTAGGTCAGACACTAAGCGGGTCGGGCTTAAACCAGGAGGGTTGGGTCGGGTCTACTAAAAAAAAACAAAAAAAAAACTTATTCTATCTTTCCTTTAAAAAAGTTATCCTCTTAGCAGGAAAAATTAGAGCACACCGCCCGAGCCCAGTTTCTAGCACCTTTGCGCCACCGTCGCCGTCGCACCTTCATCGTCAGTCGCATTTCGCCAGCACCAATTCAGTTCCCAATCAACACCGAAATGAATCTCTCTTCTTCCTCTTCACACTTTCCTAACTGGTTTTCTCTAGAAACGCCTCTAAGCTCCTAGATCTAACTTTGAAACCAACTGTATCAAACCAAAAAGTCATTGACAACCGCTGCTCCAATGGCTCCGATTTTCAATACATCATTCTCCTCCTTCTCCTCTTGCTTTATCCCAAAAAATAAGACCCAAAATCCTTCCAAACTACCCAAACCGAAACCCTCAAAGAACCTCCTCTGTTCGTGTGATTTTTTTTGTAGCACCTTATGGGGAATGAGGTTGATTTTCGTGTTTTTTTAGGTTGGATTTTTGGGTAAGAATGGGATTCTCGATGGGTGAAGGGATTGATAAGGGCGTCGGTGGTGAGGGGAGGCTGTTTCGGAGTTGGGGAATTTAGGTTTAGTTGATGGGGTTGTATTGGTGTTGCAGCAGATGGTGGCTTCGGTGGGTTTATGGTGGTGGTCTTGGCTCTAGGTAGCGATCTCAGGGGAGGGTTGTCAATGATGGCAGGGGTGATAGGAAGCTCAGCTAGTGGTAATGTTGTCTTGCTCTGTTCTGATGAAGGGAATTGCTGGGACTTTTGGTTCTGAAAAATTGGTTCCCCTTCTCCGAATCCCCTTGTGAATTGCTTTCATTTTATCAAAATTAGAAAAAGCTAAAAGCTTGCTGCATCTAAAAGGTAAATTGAGAACTTTAGCTTGTTGTGGCGTGTAAGATGGGTTAGAGAAAGTGGTTGTGTTTGGGAGAATGAAGCTGTGATCCATTGGTGCTAG